GGGGTTTTGCCATTGACTTCGGCAAACTTGTTACTAACCAACCCATTATTTTTGGCAAAGGACCCTACCGTCGATTTTGATGTCACCAGCAACGCCTTTGCAAACATATCAGTGAGTAGCTTCACCATGAACTTCGACTAACTCGACTTTGCCGACACCAAACAATCAGTGAGGGGTTCGCCATCTACTTCAGCATCAACAACACCACTTTTGCTAACATTTCAGCAAGGGGATTCGCCAATAGCTTCAGCGTCATCAACAACGCCTTCATCAACATTTGAATGAGAGGTCTCGCCATCGACTTTAGCTTCATCAGCAATGTGTTTGCCAACATCTCAGTGAGGGGCTTCGACTCCAGCTTCAACATCATTAGCTACTCCTTTGTCAACATTTCTACAAGGGTTTAGCCTTCAGCTTCAACATAATTAATCGACGCTACCTTCTCCACCAATTTAGAGTGGAGGGATCACCATCAACATCTTTGGCTTCACCTTCACCAACATTTTGGAGTAGAGAGATTACCATTGGAATCTTTGCCTTTGCCTTTGCCATCAGTTGGAGTGGGGGATCTCCATCTATGACATCTAGGATAGCAACCATGCCTATGTCGTTTACTTCAAGCATGCAAAAAAATCTCACAAGTGTCAGCCAAGAGGGGCTAGTGAAGAGTGCATTGGACAAGCAATATGCCCAAAAGACAAAAGCTTTGTGTAGCGCTCATGAGTGAAGGCTTGAAGATGCGTGTCATGATTCATCTACAACTACCTCGCCCATGTCGACCACTTTGCCTACTTCGACTACATTAATGTCTTCGGTGAAGGCTTAATTATGTAAATAAGGTACCAAGGATCAAGGCCATATGAGGGAGCGAGCTGCCAAAGACAAGGTCATGGAGCCTTGAGCAAAGCTTGACGCCAAAGACTAGCCAAAGTTAAAATTGTCCATAGTTTGTATCTATTTAGACGAGAACTGTGTGTCAGGATTGAGTGGTAATTGGGCCACTTTTTGTGCTTAGCTATTGGGTCTTGTGCTTTCGATAAAAAATGAATAGCTAAGGGGCTACTGTTGGGGTGTATAATATGTTAAGGACCCCCATTAGTGTTTCTGAGGCCCAATTACATAGCTTGAGGGCTTGTAAGACAATGCTTAGGGCCAGTTGTGGCCTCTAGATACTCTTTGTAAAATACAAGCCCTACCAGGGGGAATAATGAAAACCTCCGTTCCCACCTTCCCTATAAAAGGGAGAGGGGAAAGTGGGAGAAAGGAGAATTCTAGTCTCTCACTCATTTGTCTCTCTCCACCCACATCTCATGTCCGGTTAATAACCAATAGAGGTAATAGTGATAGGTTTCACAGCTTAAAAGTTAGCTATGACCATTTAGAAGAGAGTGAGAGATTGCTTTTTAGTATGCTCATTATTCAAGAAGGGAAAGAACATCATGAGGGATACCCAGCTTCAATGGTGGACTGGACTAGGTTTATTGGATATGAATCATGTATCTGTTAGGGGTCAAATGATCATCACTAATTTACTTACAGTTGGTCTATTACAGAAAGTTGACAATAATCACAAATATTTAAAGTATTCCTATGTAAAGGTTTATCCCATTTTGCAGGACATGGTTTTTTGATAGTTAGTGAAAGCAAGAAAGAATGGATATCGCTCTTAAACTTCTTATTATCATCATTATCAAATTGGCAACACTGTCCGAACCTATCCTTTTTGTACCTCTCATCATTATCATCCATGAAGGATAGGATTTTTCCAAGGAAATATGCAATCTGCTGAAGCTTCAATATCTAAATATTTCGGGCACAAAGATCAGTTCACCCCTTTGAGTTGTTTTATCTCTCTGAGCTGAAGGCAAATGAAACAACTTAAACAGATTCCTTGTTGGGCAATCGCAAGGTTGAAGAAGTTACAAGTGTTTGATCTATTTTCTAATGTAATCACTCTCCCTCAAACATTATTCCACATGTTACCATTCATGTAGAGTCCTAGACAAACTTATGCTTCCTCACTTCTTCTAGAACTTGGAAGATCTAACATGCAGTTGCAAGTATTTGGTGTTTGTTTACAAACAGTGGAGCAGGTTAAGATTCTAGGCCATTTACCAAGGGCTCGTGTATGATTACTCAGTATTGACAACATTGAACAGGATGATAGCTAGCTTGGAGAAGAAAAAGAGAAGATGAATCTGAAATGCTTCCTAAATATAAAATCAGACTGAGTTGTCGATCACTCATTGCTAATTCATGAAAGAGCTTGTGGCTAAAGAAGATCTATCATATGGTAAATTTGGACTAACTTAGAATACCTTTGTCTTGGCCATGTTGAAAAAGTGATATGGAAAACTGTTGGACTAAACCTCCGGGTTGTGTGCTTGTTTGAGTGCACCGTGAAGCATGCTTCTTGGCTTCAGATCTGTCATGTTTAGTTGAGATCAAGGTCATCAGATGCTCCCTTCTGATTGACAACACTTCACTATTAGATGATTTGGTCAGAAATCAAGCAGTTGTCACTTTTCCTTGACTGGAAAAGCTGGCACTACAATCGCTACTAGAACTTTCTTCTGTAAGTGACATCAAATGTGAAGTCAAGAAGCTAAGATACCTACAAGTACACGTCTGTATTGGCTGAAGTCTTTATGCTTGCATCCCCAACGCAACTAATGCAAAATCAAGATATGGTGCTTCGGACCATGGTGGGGTTCATGGGAATAGCATAGCGAGGTGATGAAACCTTATCTTCTTCCAATGTGTAATATGAAAGTGTAATATTCTTCAACTAGTATGTTAATACTGTTCACAACATGTTATTTACCTTCAGTTCTAGTGGTGAGCTTTATGCCTTTACTACAGGACAAGCCTTGATGGTCAACCCATGGCAACTAATTCTGGAACTGTAGTTGGTAGTGAAAGCACTGAATCTAACATAAATGTACATGAAGCTTGGGATGTCGATGATGTTAATAGTGACTACAGGACATGCATGTCTGGATGATCAAACAAATGGCAACTGATTCTATTTCTCACATACAACATTAGTTTGTGGGTTGATGTCACACCACCTTGTTGATGTCTTTTGCCCTCTAGCCATTCCCTAATTTTGTATGTGACCTACAAAGGCTACTGCTAAAGCCAACTAGTAAAAAAGAAACTGTAAATTTTGGGTCACATACAACTACCAATGCAAAAAAGTATTCTTAGGCAATAATATTATTCTGATTAGGCAATATATGATTTTGAATTAGGCAAAATAGTGTATTTCATTGACCAATTTTATTGAACATCCAATTTTTGATGTATCACATAGAAATAGCAGCATTCCTATAGATCAAAAAGCAAGTGTTTTTGTAGCCATACCTGACCTATTTATTTAGCCTTGCACTACATGTTCTCTAATTATCACTTCGTTTGTTGTTACATTGCAGGTCATCAATGTATTCAGCGGAGGAATGCAACAAATGATGTGTAGCAATTTGCAACAGTAAGCAGGTTGTCAAGTAATATGTAGAATTGCAGCTCATTCTGGGAGCACATGCTATGTGCAGATAAACTGTTAAAGATGTTGCATTCGAAAATATTAAGTAGAGAAGCAAATCTCATGTGCAGTCATCCTCGGAGTACATATGCTAAATAATTTGGAACATTTTATTTTTCTCTATGTAATTCTCAATCATTTAGCTACTTTTTTTGTGCACTTCTAATAATATATGTAGTTCAATGTCTAATGCATTGCCGAGAAAATTAGAGTCTTTTTGAGGCGATGGTGTTATTTTGTTTTAAATTTCCATGGAAAAAGTCAATTCTATCAAAAATGGTAAATAAGGAGGACGTACGCCCTGTTCGCTTGGCTTATAAGCCGTACTTTTTCAGCCAACGAACAGTATTTTTCTCTCGCAACAAATCAGTTAACAGTACTTTCAGCTATGGCTTATCAGTCAAGCGAATATGGCAGTAGTGTCCAAAAGGCGTCAGTCTCCCCACTTCTGGCGGCAAAACTATGGTGGGCGTTGGAAAATCCTCTTCTCCCGCGCTCTCCGCAAGGCCAAAAAGCAAACGGTAGAATTTTGGACGAAAAAGAAAAGCAGCGACATCAGGTTTCCCAAAATGGAACCCGCAGTCGGATGGCAAGTTTCTTGAATACCCATGCTGTAGTAGAAATCTTCATATTTTTTTAGAAAAATAAATCTAGAAAAATATGAGCCAAAAAGCAAACGGTAGATTTTTTTGATGAAAAAGAAAAGCAGCGGGAACATGTTTCTTGCATACCTATGCTGTAGTAAAAATCTTCATATTTTTTAGGAAAATAAATTTAGAAAAGTACGAGTACCTGTGCCAAGTTGAGAACTTAAATCTTGGTAGATAGGTTCCATAAACCTTGCTGATAATGTATGTATATATATACATCATTTATATATTTCTCGCCAAAAAGAGCTCATTTACAAATACAGATGCACGCTGTTCGTTGACTTGCTGTCCGATTTTATGGGCCATGCCGTGCTGGGCTCCGTAGGCCGCGCGATTCGAGGTTTCCTATCGCACGGAGGACGGGGACGGATATACGGATTCTTCATTCTTCTTCACTTCTCCCTGCTTGTTTTTTTTCGGACGGAAAAAGGGAAAAGGAGACGAAACTGGCCAGGCGCTACGCCACAACGCGGCCGCGGCCGAGGCCACGCCTCGCCGCGCGCCGCCTCTCCGCCGCTGCGGCTCCATGCCCCCTCGAACCACCGCATCCTCCCGTGCTCCTGCCACCTGCTCCACATGCCTCGTCACCCTTCCACCCCCTCGCAACCCACCCGCACCCGGCCATCGCAGCGTTCCCGCACGCCGGCTTCTCCCACCTCGCCGACCACCCTCTCCTCGCGCGCGCCGTCCACGCCCTCGCCAGCCGCCGCGCTCTCCCGCTCAGTGCCTTCCACCGCAACACCCTCCTCACCTTCTATTTCCGTCAAGGCTCCTCTCCTGCTGCGGCCCTCCACCTGTTCGATGAGATGCCGCACCGGACGTCTTCCTCCTGGTACACCGCCGTCTCCGGCTGCGTGCGCTGCGGCCTCGAATCCACGGCCTTCACCCTGCTGCGGGTCATGCGGGAGCGTGACGTCCCGCTCAGTGGCTTTGCGCTCGCCAGCCTCGTCACGGCCTGCGAGCACCGGGGCTGGCAGGAGGGCGCGGCGTGCGGCGCCACCATCCACGCGCTCACTCACAAGGCGGGGCTCATGGGGAACGTCTGCATCGGGACTGCGCTCCTACACCTCTATGGCTCCCGTGGGCTCGTCTCGAATGCCCAGACTGTTCTGGGAGATGCCTCAGCGGAACGTCGTTTCTTGGACAGCGCTCATGGTGGCATTGTCGTCAAATGGGTGCATGGAAGAGGCATTGGTAGCCTATCGTCGGATGAGGAAGGAAGGGGTTATGTGCAATGCAAATGCATTGGCTACGGTGGTCAGCTTGTGTGGGTCACTTGAGGATGAGGCGGCTGGGCTTCAGGTCACAGCCCATGTCGTGGTCTCTGGCCTTCTGACCCATGTTTCAGTGGCAAATTCGCTTATCACCATGTTTGGGAACCTCAGGAGGGTGCAGGATGCGGAGAGGCTCTTTGATCGGATGGAGGAGCGTGACCGTATATCGTGGAACGCGATGATATCCATGTACTTGCATGAAGAAGTCTATAGCAAATGCTTTATGGTACTTTCAGATATGCGTCATGGTGGAGTGAGGCCTGATGTGACGACTCTGTGCAGCTTGGTATCTGTCTGCCTCATCGGATCTTGTTGCCCTGGGAAGTGGGATTCACTCCGTGTGTGTCACCAGTGGTCTGCATTCTTCTGTTCCACTTATTAATGCCCTGGTTAATATGTATTCTGCAGCTGGGAAATTGGATGAGGCAGAGTCTCTGTTCTGGAACATGAGCAGACGGGATGTAATATCATGGAACACTATGATTTCATCTTATGTGCAGAGTAATAGCTGTGTTGCAGCATTGGAAACATTGGATTAGTTACTCCAAACTGATGAAAGTCCACCAAACTACTTGACATTTTCCAGTGCTCTAGGAGCATGTTCAAGTCCAGAAGCCTTGATGAATGGCAGAACAATTCATGCCATGATATTGCAGCAGAGTCTTCAGAACATCCTACTGATTGGTAATTCTCTTCTGACAATGTACAGTAAATGCAATTCTATGGAAGACGCGGAGAGAGTATTTCAGTCAATGCCATGTTATGATGTTGTTAGTTGCAATGTGCTTACTGGGGGCTATGCAACACTGGAGGATGTTGCAAACGCAATGCGTGTGTTTTCTTGGATGAGGGGTACCGGGATAAAGCCAAATTGTATCACAATGATAAATCTCCAGGGCACCTTCAGGTGATTTGCACAGTTATGGAATGCCACTGCATGCTTACATAACACAGACTGGATTATTATCAGATGAGTACATTACAAACTCATTGATCACAATGTATGCAACCTGTGGTGATTTAGAATCTAGTACTGATATATTCTGCAGAATCAACAATAAAAGTGCCATTTCCTGGAACGCCATCATAGCTGCCAATGTACGGCATGGCCACGGAGAGGAAGCTCTAAAGCTCTTCATGGATTCACGGCATGCTGGAAATAAACGTGATCGTTTTTGTCTAGCTGAATGTTTGTCATCCAGTGCAAGCTTGGCATCATTAGAAGAAGGCATGCAGCTCCATGGCCTTAGCGTGAAAAGCGGGCTAGATTATGATAGTCACGTTGTTAATGCTGCAGTGGATATGTATGGAAAATGTGGAAAGATGGATTGTATGTTGAAAATGCTGCCTGATCCTGCCTGTCGGCCTACGCAATGCTGGAACACATTGATATCAGGTTATGCAAGATATGGCTATTTCAAGGAAGCTGAGGATATGTTCAAGCACATGGTCTCAATGGGGCAAAAGCCAGACTATGTGACATTTGTTGCTCTCCTCTCAGCTTGTAGTCATGCTGGTCTAATAGACAAGGGCATGCATTACTATAACTCTATGGTACCTACATTTGGTGTTTCTCCTGGAATTAAACATTGTGTTTGCATAGTGGATCTCCTTGGGCGTTTGGGACGATTTGCAGAGGCAGAAAAATTTATTGATGAAATGCCAGTCTTGCCAAATGACCTAATATGGAGGAGTTTGTTGTCAACAAGTAGAACCCACAAAAATCTGGATATTGGGAGGAAAGCGGCGAATAATCTCCTTGAATTGGACCCATTTGATGACTCTGCTTATGTTCTTTTGTCAAACTTATATGCTACAAATGCATGATGGTTAGATGTTGACAAATTGAGAAGTCACATGAAGAGTATTAAGTCAAACAAAAGACCTGCCTGCAGCTGGCTTAAGTTGAAGAATGAGGTGAGCACCTTTGGTATAGGTGACCGGAGTCATATGTGCGCAGAACAGATCTATGCTAAGTTGGATGAAATCTTGCTAAAGCTCAGAGAAGTAGGTTATGTCGCTGATACCTCATCTGCACTACATGATACGGATGAAGAGCAAAAAGAGCATAACCTTTGGAACCACAGCGAGAAGCTTGCATTGGCATATTGGCTTCTTCTTGTGCCAGAAGGATCTACAATAAGGATATTCAAGAATCTCAGGGTCTGTGCACACTGCCATTTGGTATTTAAGCTGGTTAGCATGGTTTTTCACAGGGAAATTGTTCTGAGAGATCCTTACAGGTTCCACCAATTCAAACATGGGTCATGCTCATGTTCAGATTTTTGGTGAGATAGTCATACAACAATTACAAATCGATCCCTGCTTGTCAATTTCTCTACTAGTTCTTCTGGGTAACTCTTTCGCCTCCTTCAATTTCTTTTAGCAATATATTGATTCCTGAATTAGGATTGTGATCGATCCATAATATTGTAGCAGTATCATGTGCAACTTCTTTTTGGCTGTCGCTGGCCAACCAAGGTGACCTCTCGGACGTCGTCTGGGCCTCACCACCATCAACTGCCAGCCACTCCTGCCCCAACCGTCTGCGCCCATGGGTCATGGACGTGCCCCCATCATCTGTCAAAGTAAGAGGAGCAGCTGCTGTAAGGCCGATTGTACTTCGTTGACATGATATGATGAAGCGCACTGCAGTTGCAGCGGCAGCTGGTGCACGGCAATGGTGGCTGTGGCTCATGCTGGAAAGCAATAATGGCTGCGCTTGACACCGATAGTATCAGTATCCATGATGCATAGGTGCTTGAGCTCATGCTGCCTTGTGTCCACAGCACATCCTGAGGCAAAGGGACTACCAATTCCTCAACGCTAAACCCATATCCGGTCCTCACCACAGCTGTGCGCTTCCAGCTTCGTCCAAAGGGAAGATGAGGTCCCATACTGGACGAGCAACCTGGACATGGCTATGGCTCCTCAGCCTCATGCCCCGGCAATAGTGCGAAGGTCTGTATCATTTTTTTTGGAAAGAGCCTGTATCATATTATTAGTACTTTGCATGATCATTTTTTAGTTTATTATACTTTGCATGGTACGGTGTCATAAGAAGAGATTGCATGACATACAAGCTTATCATGTCCTATGGTGTCATAGGAAGAGCCAAACACCGAAGGTGGTGTTCATCCCCGCGCTGATGGCCACACCGGTGGTGGGCGAGCGGCCGAGCAGGAGTGGCGAGGTGGTGGTGCCCTCGGACAGGCGGAGGGCATGCTCGTCATCACATACACGGCTACATGACTAGGGATGAAAGTGTGTGGATAGTTCTCCGCTCTGATCCTAATCCGAATATTAAAGATATGGAGAAAAACTTTTAATATCCATGCGAGATACAGATAATCCTAATCTAATTGTGTACTGATGCGAAGTAGGATATGGAATTGAAAAAATCCGGTGGATATGCAAATTCTATGTAGCGATGTTTAAAATAGGATATCTGATAATTTCTATCACTAGGCTAATAACTAGATGAATTCAGGATTTGAAAAACGCTTGTTAGTTAACTCTTATTTTGTGATGGGTTTATTTTATGTTCTGAACTTTTGAATTGAGAACTTGTCTGTTATTACTTATTGGAAATGCTTAGGCCGATCGCCTCCGTTGGTGTGTTGCGACGCCAACCTGAACCAACCTAAACGGCCCAACACTCCACTGTGCACGCTTAACTGAGAATTGTTCGTTTCATAAAAAAAAACTAAGAATCGTTCAGCAAATCCACTCTGTAAGTAAAATGGACCTTAGGCCCATTTACTTTGCATTTTGGTGTTTGATGACTAACTAATGAATTTGCAAGTAATTATTTTGTAGTTCAATAGGGTGCAAGACGTGACTTGGACGAAGGCGATGTGATGATCCGATGCTCAACACCTCAAGAAAGACATTGGAAGATACATGAAAGACATACAAGATCAAGCAAAGTGTAAGACACGAAGATAGGAACTAAGCCGGACCCAAGATCGCAAAGAAACCAGCTTCATAGAGGTGACCGGACGCGGCCCTATGAGGACCGGACGCGTCCGATCAGTTGACCGGACGCGTCCGATCAGTTGCTCGGCAATAGCAGGAGTCAGCAGTAGTGACCGAACGTTGAGTAGTAGTGACCGGACGCTGAGCGAAACAGTGACCGGACGCACGGACTTCACTGTTCATCGTCGCGGCAACAACTCAGTGAGGACCGAACGCAGTGGCACTGGATGACCGGACGCACAAAGTGCAGCGTCCGATCATGTCCAGAGAGGTTCCAGAGCGACGCAAATGCGACCGGACATGTCCGGTCGATGATGTCTGGACTCGGCCCAGAGTTCGATCAACATGCGCGCTCAACGGTCGGGACGACCGGACGCGTCCGGTCAGGACGAAAGCAGCGTCCGGTCAGTAGCAGAAAGCTAGGTTTGCCCCCCACCGGCTACTTTCTCTATGGGGCTTATAAATAGACCCCCCAACCGGCCATTTGAAAGGTAGCGAGTTGAGGATACATACCAAGGGTGTTGATACACAATTTTAGTGATCTCCACTTGCATAGTGCTTAGTGATTCATTAGGTGATTAGCGTAGGTGCTTTGCGAAGTGCTTAAATTGATTAGACCACCGCTTATGCGCTTGCTCTAGGTTTAGGCCTAGTGTTTAGTGAGGTTTGCACATCTCTTACTACTCGGTGCTTGCGTGCACCATTATTGTACATCGGAGGGGCTTGTAGTCTTGCGAGATCACACCAACCGTGTTTGTGGTGTGGCCGCCACCGTGTACCGAAGGTAACAAGGCCCGCGGTGGTTCGGCCAGAAGCTTGATAGTGAAGACGACGGGGAACGGTCCGGGAGAGGCTTGCCGGAAGGCACACCGGAGACCCACTTGCGCATGGGGAAGGCCCGGGGCTATCCACGGAGTTACCTGACCGGGAGCTTGGCCCTTGCGAGGGATTCCTTGCGAGGGGCTCCAACGAGGACTAGGGTGAAGCTTGAGCGCTTCTCGATACCTCGGTAAAAATACCGGAGTCATCGACGGGAGTTTGCATCTCTACCTCATCTTTACCTTCCGTATTCATATTGCTACATTGGTTGATTGCTTTACTTTCCTAGCTTAGTTGATAGGATTGGAACCTAGGTTGCATAACTCTTTTGCGGTAGAGATAGCAACACACCTAGCAAAACCATAGTTGCACATCTAGATAGATTACTTTCTTGCATAGGTTTTGACTAGGTAGAATTAGAGGCCATAGTTTAGAGTTAGAATTTTAAGTTGCCTAATTCACCCTCCTCTTAGGCGTCACATTCCTATTACAAGTGGTATCAGAGCTGGTTGGCTCAATTTGGACCTTTGGCTTCACCGTCGTTGAACCGACGCTATTTAGAGTAGTTGGGATAAATACCTCTAGGCCTCCACACTTTGACGGCACTAACTTCCCTTGCTATAAAGCTAGAATCGCTTGTCACCTTGAGGAGGTAGATTTGGGTATTTGGAGAGTCACTCGTGATTTGATGAAACCCATTAAAAATCCAGATAAACCCACAAAGAGTGACGAAAAAGAAATTTATTTCAATGCTAGAGCTAAAAATTGTTTGTTTGAATCTTTTAGCATGGATGTGTTTAACCAAGTGTTCACTTTAAATACGGCACATGAAATTTGGTTAAAACTCCAAGAGCTTCATGACAGCACAACTAATGTCCGTGAGTAAAAACATTGTCTAGCTAAACAAAATTATGATTCTTTTAAAATGGATGATGATGAGCTTGTTCGTAATATGTATTCACGTTTGAATCTAATTATCAATGAACTCTATTTAATAGGATTAACGAAGCTAGATGATGCGGACATCATGAGGAAGATCATCTCCATGCTACCACAAAAGAAATATGCAAGCATCATCACCATCCTTCACAACATGGAGGACTTGAGCACCATGACCCCGGCTATAGTCATTGGCAAGTTAGTGGCATTTGAAATGTCACGGAAGATGGGTCAAGAAGAAGCATCTTCATCAAGCAAAGGCAAAGCTCTCGCATGTAGTGAGAAAAAGAAGATGAAGGGCAAGCAAGTCGAGACAAGCTCAAGCTCAAGCTCCTCAAGTGAAGATGAAGAAGACGGTGAGGATGATGATGATGATGATTCAAGTGATGATGATTAATCTTTCTCCTCCACCTCCGACCTTGATGAAGAATCAATCAAACTTACCAATAAGGTGGAGAAGATGATCCAAAGGCTCAATGTCAAGGGTGTGCCCATCCAAATTCAAGATTTCTTCTTCACCAATCAAAGAAATAAGCAAAGAAAGAAAGGATGCTATGGATGTGGTGAGTTGGGGCACTTTGTGGAAGGTTGTCCAAACAAGCCCACACCCAAGACAAAAAAGAAGGCGTGCAAGGACAAAGCCCTCACATCAATAAGGTCATGGGATGATTCTTCAAGTGAAGAAGAAGACCATCACAAATGGCGAGGGCACAAGCACTCATCATCAAGCACCTCATGTGTGTGCCTTATGGCACGAGGTAACAAAAAGCCTATCCCTAGTGATAGCAACAATAATAGTGATAGTGATGATGAGCTACCTTCTTATGATGAAATTGTGCAAGAAAATCTTAACTTTGCTAAAGTTTGCACTAGTCAACAAAAGAAGCTTGAAAAATTAAAAAAAACTAGATAGCTCACAACAAGCTTATGCTACTTTGCTTGAATAATATGAAACTTTTGCTAATCTTAATATGGAGCTATCTACTAAAATTGAGCAACTTGAGACTAGTGCAAACACAAATAATTGCACAATCAATAATGAGCAACTTATAAAGAAAAATGAAAAATTAAAGAAAAAGTTAGCTAGCTCATAAGATGCTTATAAAAGTTTGCTTGCTAAAATGAAAACTATGTGCAAACATTGTTATGAGCTAACTAATAAAGTTGCTAATCTTGAAGCCATCGGTACTACCCCCACCGAGGCACCTAAAAAGAAAAGTTCTATCTTTGACATGTCTAAAAAGGATGCATCTGCTTCTTGCAATGATTTATGTTTAGACTCACCCTTGTGCAACCAAGTTTGTGTTGAGAAAGTTGTTGTAGATACATGCACACAAGAGGTTGCAATGGAGAATGAGCAACTCAAGCAAGAAGTGAGAGGCAAAACAGAGCAAGTCCAACTTCATCAAGATAACACTGTCAAGGGAGTGAAGAAGCTCGATGAAGGACAAACCATGGTTTGCTACGTGTGCCACAAGGAAGGTCACAAGTCCTATGAGTTTAAGGTGAAGAATGGGGGAGGAACTAAGAAGAAAGAGAAAAACAAAAATAAAACAAGCAAGCTCTCCAACACCTACACCAACAAGGTGGACAAAAGGCTTCCACACCTTATCTCTTGAAGAAGAGGAAAAATGACAAGGTGGTGGCCATCAAGGTGAACAAGCAAGCCAACAATGGGGGCCAAATGCGTTTGGGTGCCAAAGGAGATCATTTCTAACATGAAGAGCACCAAGAAGGTTTGGATCCCAAAAGGGAAGTGAGAAGTCCGATGGACTTCGGGGAATTTGGAGACTTGGCAAAGTATGGGTGCATTTCATGTGGTGCATCATTATGGACAAGGTAATTGCTAAGTGGGTTAGTGAATACTATGGACCCAAATTTCCCTTCCCATGTTAGGTAACTAGATTTAATTTCTTGCAATCTCAATTAGCATCTAGTTCCCTTTCATGCCTAGGTTTGCATTTGCATGTTTAATCTTTTATCTTGCATACACTAGGTATATCTTATGGTAGGCTTGTTCGGTTTCACTCTTAACCCTTGGAGCAACCCTACATGGTTTAAATTGTTTAGGAGCACGGCACATAGCTTGTTTTACAATTGTTCATCTAATATGTGCCAAAGTCCAAATTGTAGATAATTTCTCCCGTATATCACTTTCGAAAATGATTCTCACATTCATGTGATGTCATCTTTCAAGTGGTATTTTTTATTCTAAAAT